AAAAGAAAAAAAAGCTAAAATATTACCAAGACTTGTTAAGCCATGGCTTGACCTTTGGAGAAGTCCTTGACTTTTCCAAGTAGTAGCTTTTGTGATAGTAACTGAATTCTATTACATTTTCTTGTGGCTTGCAGCATAAAATTTAGTGGATTATAACTAGTGGCATGGTCTTTGTTCTTAATTAAAACAAAATATAAACAAAATAAAATATACTCAATTGCTGTGCTTACGACATGAGGCAGAAGGAGGGTGAGTTCTAGGTGTGCCCAGTACAAAACATAGCAAGACTGTGGAAAAAGAATGGAGAACAGTATCATAAATCCTTCATAGAAAGGTTGTATTGTTTTATGAAACCTTTGTTTTCTATTTGTATGCATTTGTCTTATTTTTTCTGTCTGGAGACCTGCCATCATTCTGCAGCATATATTAGAATGCGTTTGTAACTATCCAACAAAAGAAGATGTTAAGTAGCTGATCTAAACAAATATGTTAATTATAAACAAGCGTATACTGAGTATGTAGAAGCTTGGTCAAAATTCAAAAAGTTCGTTTGAAATTTTTAGTTACTTCATAAATTTATTTCTCACAAAGAGTTGCTTTTAAGAATATTTACCTGTGGAAATGCCTCATGCAATTTATGCCTGCCACATAAGTATGAGAACCTAAATTCAGAGCCTCAGTAACCATTTAAAAGGTCAGGCTCAGCGGCTTGTGCCTATCATCCTAGTGAATGGAGACGGTAGAGTAAGGAGGAGAGGTGGACCCAGTAAACAACAACAATAACAAAAAACCATCCACCCCTGTTTCCACATTCATGCTCATGTATGTGGAAGTACATATGGCATGCTAGCAAGGACATAGGGGTCTCTCTCTCTCTCTCTCTCTCTCTCTCTCTCTCTCTCTCTCTCACTCACTCACTCTCTCACTCACTTTCTCTTTCACACACACACACAAACACACACAGAAAACTACTCTAACATAGGAATTGTTTTAGTGTTATAACATTTATTTACTAATTTTTGAAAAGGGACAGCCAGAATGTATAAGATTAAAAGTTTCCAATTGTAGTTATAAATTTCATAGTAGCTTTCATATTAAGATTGGTATGTACTTTTTCCTTTGGCAGATTAAGTATCCAGATACTGTTGAGTTTTTTCAAAGTTTTATATTTAATGAAATTATTGTTTCTTTACAGGTGTAATTATTGAGAGTGATATAATTGGCTCAGATCTCACAAAGAACTCTGACTCAGATATACAATCCAATATGCCTGATGTACCATATGAGCCAGATTTGGATATTGAAATAGATTTCCCCAGAGGTACTGAAATACTACTTTATCATTGTTAAATCAAATTGTAGAGTTGCACTTAAAATAGTTTGATCATCAATGTTAATGTCATTACCCATTGTCTCCATATTTCTTTTTTCTGTTTTTTTTTTGTGGTAGGTATGTGCTTTTCCACTTAGCTATATCCTTCATCCTCTGCTTTTCCTTTCCCAACTAAAACTTAATTATTCCAGGAACTTTAGACACTAGAGAAGAATACAATACTTGTTTCTTTTTAATTCAAAGGTACTGTTGGGGTAGAGGTAGTGATCAAGATAAGAGTTTGCTCTATATTCTAGGCTAGCCTCCAACTCACCTCAGTCCTTGTCTCAGCCTCTCTAATGCTGGGATTGTAGGCATGTCAGCATGTCTTCTAGCTTGGTAGCATTTTTGTTAATGTTTTTGAAAGTTAAGTTCACTTTTGAATGAAAAAAAAAGTATTCAGTTGTTTTTTTAAGACACCCTCCATTGCTTCTTGGCTGTTAAGCTAAGAACAAGTGTGAACTGTATCCTGTCTGGACATCTAGGCATACTTCTACAGTCCAGCCATTGACCAGTGGAGGCAGAATTAGAGTAGAAGGGCTGCCCTGCTGTGTATCAAGTTCTGAGGTCAGCCTGATCTAATGAGGACTTGTTTCAAAAGCCTCCTGTGATAGTGCATACCTGTAGTCCTGCTACTGAGGCAGGAGGATTACAAATTGGAGACTCCATAAAGTAAATTCTAGACCTTAAACAGAGAGAGATGAATGTGTTTCTTTTTTTTCATTTTCCCCCTAATTTATGAGTTCCTGTTGAGTGACGTGTAAAGCATTCTGTGACCAAGACTTAGTAGATTAAACTGAATTGGCACTTTGGGTCTTCTAAGTTTTTAGTTGTTTGCTTTTTCTAGTATCTAGTATTTCTAGTATATAGTTTTATGAAATTTCTCTATTGATACTTGTTACGTATGTTTTTTAGTAGTATGAACAGAGTTTATTAAAACTCAGACTATGTTAAGTATGTCTTCTACTCCCTAGCCTACCTCAAACTTATCCCATGTCTGAGTGACCCTGGCCTACCTCAAACTTATTCCTATGTCTGAGTGTTCATTCATGCCATGTGACTGTTTCTTTATATGCTGTGTTTATGTAGCATAGCCAATACTGTTCTATTTAAAAAAAAATTCTAACTTATTAGCTGCGGAGGAGCTTGATATGGAAAATGAGTTTTTATTACCACCTGTTTTTGGAGAAGAATATGAGGAGCAGCCCCGACCTCGATCTAAAAAAAAGGTACAGAATTTGTTAATATTTTTATGTCTTGTAGTCACTTCGTCTCTATAGCAGCATCTCAGATAGAGAAAGATGCATTGGTGGTTTCTTATGATATAGGAAGAGAGATGTTAAAATGTATCTTAATACAAGGTCAAAATAGAAAATAGTTGATTTAAAAAAGGAATTCAACTCTGACAATAATAGAGTATATTCTGAGTGAGCATGGTGGCACATAATTGTAATCACTGGTGAGGCAAGAAGATTGTCTCAAAAAGGAAAGGAGAAGGGGGAGGTGTTGATGATTTTTCAAGGGATTAATTTTTTTCATCATTATTTTTGATGAGGTTTATCAATATAAAAGAGGTATAATTTATTCTTAAGCATGCCAATACAGAAAGAAAAGACATGTTGGGAACTGGGGATGTAGCCCAGTGGTAGAATGCTTACCTGCCATACAGGAAGCCCTGGGTTTGATCACCAAAACTACATAAACTTAGTGTGATGGTACATGCCTGTAATTCTAGTAGGAGATGAGAAGCTAGAGGATCAGAGGTTCCAGGCTAGCCTGGGATAAATGTCACACAGTTTCACACATCACAAAACAAAAATACCAAAATAACACAACAATAAAACAAGAAAGAAATAAGATAATGTACTAGACAATTTGATCATTCAGATGTACAGAATCTAAATATGTTTAATATTCTATCCACAACTTTCTGTTTTTGACTTCCAACATAAGGCAAGATCAAAAGACATTGTAAGAAAATGGCTTTCCCAGATTTGTCTCGAAAGAAAGAACTGAAAAAAGGAGGGAGTATCCACAGTAGGCTAAAAGTGAGCTCTTATTTGACACCATACACAGCCATTGACTCAAATGGGTCATAGTTTTAAATGTTAGAGCTAAAAGTATAAACTGTTAGGCCTAAGTCTTCATGACCTTGTGGGCATAGTGAGTTTGAGATAACATGGGCTAGATAAGGATACTGTTTCTCCAAACAAACAAACAAACAACCTCACCACCCAACATTAAATGGAAGGGACTTGGGCTGTGACTCAATGGCAGATGCTTGTGTAGCATGTGCGTGCTCCTGGGTTTGATCTCTGCACTAATAAGAAAAGAAAGGAAACACAGTGAAAACCAAGGAAAGAGGTGTTTTTTTTTTTTTTTTTTTTTT